GGGAGGAACATTCCAGCCCCTGATGGGGATCCTGTGGGGCACCCCAAAACACTGAGTAGGTCTCTTGGCCTCTTTCAGGACTGGGGCTGTGCAGCCTTGCTCTGATCAGGAGGTGCAGCCGGGGGGGCACCATGCCTTTGGGGGATAGGGCACAGAAAGGGGAAGAATTTTCAGGGACCATTCTAACTCATACCTGGCAGGGGAGATACCATTATTGTAAAAGTGGTTTTCCCAGGGTGAGGCTCATCTATTGTACTTTGGATGTGCTGACTCCTGTGATCTCCCCAAATGTGGGAAAATCAACTGCCTAAGTGGGGGACTGTGTTTATGGTTTCCCCTGATCTTTCTAGAATCACCCTTTCCCCTTTGGTCCTTGGCTGTTTTCACTGCCTGCTGCCATAGGCCTGTTGGTCTTGCTGGTTTTCCAGGTGGGCTGCAGGAAGCAGATCCTGGAAAGCTAGCAGTGCAGAATGGTGAGGTCCAAACAGCAAGCAGTCTCCGGTGCCAGTTCAGAGACCTCCCAGCATGGCAGTGGGAGGCTTCTGGGTGGTGGTGGTTGAACCCTTTTTTTACTGTATTTACTCCATAAGACGCACATACTTTCTCCCCTTCTATTTGGGGGGGGGAAGTGTGTCTTATGGAGCGAAAAATACGGTATACTACTTTGAAAAACCAGATATGATATCAAGCATTTATGGACACTGAGTGAACACCTGAGAATAGTTTATTAATCCACAAGCCAGAAGGTATAGCTGACTACTTTAAGGTGGGATGGTGGTGCAAAGAACAAAATAGCAAGAAATCAGCTGAGCAGAAGTGACAATCTACAGTGGTGCCTCGCTTAATGATTGCCCCACATTATGACGAATCCACTTTACGACGATCTTTTTGCAATCGCAATTGCTATCGCAAAATGATGGTCTAAATGGGGGGATTTCGCTTAGCGATGATCGGTTCCTTTTCGCTTTACGACAATCAAAAACAGCTGATCGTCGGGTTTTCAAAATGGCCACCGGGTGCTTAAAATGGCTCCCCGCTATGCTTAGGGACCGATTCCTTGCTATGTAGGCAGCGAAAATGGCCGCCATATGGAGGATCTTCGCTGGACGGTGAGTTTTTATCCCACTGGAACACACTGAATGGGTTGAATGGGTTTCAATGCGTTTCAATGGGGTTTTTAATTCCGCTTTACAATGTTTTCGCTTAACGGCGATTTTCCTGGAACGGATTATCGTTGTTAAGTGAGGCACCACTGTAGTTGTTCTCTGCAAGCTTGCAACATTGCAGATAAAACAGTCAATGTGAGTTACTATTGTGAGGGCCACTACAATGCAGCCTGAACAGAAATTTCCATTACCACTTGAAACTATTATTGTTATTTCCAAGAAAGTATATGTGTTAGTCTGCTGAAGAAAAAACAAAGTCCTGTATCATCTCTTCAAGGCTAACAAGTGGTCTTTGGCATGGGGATATGTAGACCCAACTTACTTTTTGTATCTTGCACATACAATAAGTGGTCCTTGTCTGCAAAAGATCATGCCAAGTAAAACTTGTTCATATAAAGCTGCCACAAGACTTTGTTGTTTTTATTACTATTATGTAACATTTATATCTGACTGTTCTGCTAACGAACAGTACTTTAAAAAAAGTAAAACACATTATGCTAAAGGGTTAATATACATCCCGGTTACCTTCAGCCTTACATACTGACACTTCGTTTGATACAGATATGATGAGACTGAAAGCTTTTAATTTCAAATTAGATTAACTGCTGCTTGTTGTACTGACCTAAGTAAAAATAATGATAGTTAATCTTGGCTCACATGGTTTGGACAACCTCCTCTTTGTTTCCTAAGCAGAAACAGAAAAGGAAGCTAAATATGCAAGGCTCAAATTTAAACTCATCATGCTAACACACAGCATAGTCTGAGAACAACTGTTACTACGTAAAACACTGTTTCGATCAATTTGTTTTCTATTTTCCACTGAAGGAAAGATAGGGAACAAGAACGAGATCTGTGCTGGAAAAACGCACAAAATCTGAACACAAAAGCACCTTGGATTACTCTGTACTGTATATTGTTTTGGAAGACTGCTGTAAACAGTCCAGTTGAGACATCCATTCACACATTATATCTCTTTATAAATGACTACTAATATCACAGGAATTTAATGAAAGAAATGAAAACCAGAAGAAATTTTGGTCTAAAGTTATCTGTCCAAATCATTTTGGAAATGTATTTGGAAATTCCCATCCAATGTCACATGGGTATTGTAGTTCTTTTGAAGATCTGCTGTAGAGCTTAAAGGGCAATGAGACTTCAACTACTATTCTTGGAATTTGGTGAGTTAAATGTCCAAAAATCTGAAAAGCATTTCCCAACTAGTTACACTGGTATAACATAAGCAGAGCAACTTTTGGGGTGAATTGATCCAAGTCAAGTAATCCCTGTAGACATTATCAGTTGCATACTTAGTTGTTATACTAGTTGCATAGCCATGAAGCAAAAACATTATTAGTGGCCGAGGCTGATTTTTACTTCTTTTAAGAAACTTGCTTCTTTCAGACCATGACCCTATGTAGTTCTACATGCTGATGATGAATTGACATGTATTTAATTATTGGTATCCTGCCCTTATTTCAAGAAACTCACAGTAACAACACAAATTATCAAGTTCTAGGTGTCACACTCAATGTCATTCAGAAAGTTTCATGGGTGAGAAAAGATCTGAGGGTAGAGCTCCCCAAGTCAGAGTTTAGCACTATCTCCATTATGCTAGACCAGTGGGTGCAAAGAACAAAATAGCAAGAAATCAGCGTGCCCAAACTTTGGGGGAGGGGGGAAACCCAGTGGATGGCATGCCACAGCTGCGGAACCAAAAGTGGCAGTGGAAGGGGGAATCCGGGTAGAGAGGTGCCTCAAGATCCCACTCCAGATATGCTGCCAGGGCCTCCAGATTTGCCTGCTGAGGCACCAGCACTGTGGCTGCAGCTGCCTTCTCAGGTTTGGCTGTGCGGGCGGGGGGGGGAGTAGCGATCCAGCAACTTATGGCTCACCTGCCGGCAGAAAGGGCTCCATGTGCCAGCTGTGGCATGCATGCCATCGGTTTGCCATCACTGTACTAGATGGATGGCATTGTGGGCAAATCTAAAATACAGTATTCTGGAAGTCAAATGTCATGGGAGCATCTAGTGGCCTAGACAGAAAGGTGGTCTTGGTACTGAACAACTCATGGTTACTTAACTTGCCACTAAACAAAATAACAGTTTTCAAAGTTTCAAAGAACATTTATTATAATAGAACTAAACTGAAATTAAGAAGTCCCTGGACATTTGCTACATCTAGCCAAGAACCATTCACAAAACACAGTTCAAGTTGTTTGGAACTGGCATACTACAGATACAATATCAGCATTCAAATATTTACAAGTAAATTGCTTTGATTATCTGATATAATGTGGACTAATTGCAGCTATTATGTGACTGCTTGGTCATGTTGAAAAGCTGGTTCATAGTGGCTGTCACATAATAAATCTTTTTTCAGATGAATTCAACCTCCATCTGAGGCCTGAAAGCTTAACTTCTATCTCAATGTTATACAAATTGTTCCAAGAACAAAGCAGATAGCACAAATTCTGAAATCTTGAACTGTAAAAACTGACAATTTTATTTTGCATAACCCAGCCAAGATAAATGCTAACCTTAGTTTTTCAAGGCAAATCTACAACATATTCTTTCCCACTGTGGCTGTTATATTCACTGAAGTAAATGAACTTCCAAATTCATTTATCTCATATTGGGAAACACTGGTATCTACATATCCCAGTATGTGCACCTGTATCAGCCAGATCTTGTTTTTGCAGAATCATGTATACAAATGTAAACACTACTCACTTGGCACTGATGTACATCAACTTCCAAAAATGTTGCTTGTGGATATTTATTGCTTAGAGCATTGAAAGCAGGAGCTATCCTTAAACATGGACCACATCTGTCAAAAAAGGAAAAAATATGTTACCACTTAGGATTCACTCAGTAATATACCCTGTTTCCCCAAAAATAAGACAGGGTCTTATATTAATTTTTGCTCCCCCCCCCAAAAAAAACAACACACACATTAGGGCATATTTTCAGGGGATGCTTTTTTTTCCATGTACCTGTACAGCCATCCTCATTTATTCAAACTGTCATGTCATCTTCTTCCGGTTGCTCCACAATGCTGGAGGGCAGGGTTTCACTTAACTAGGGCTTATTTCTGGGGTAGGGCTTATATTACGAGCATCCTGAAAAATCATACTAGGGCTTATTTACAGGTTAGGTCTTATTTTGGGGGAAAGAAGGTAGGCTGGTACACAGTAAATCAGTTCATGTGGCTATTTTGCACAGAACAGACAACAGAGTGATTTTTCTCTCCCCATAATACACATCTTTGGTCACTTGGACAATATCATTTCCCAGGAAGTTGCCTAATAAAAGAATAAAGCTGAGCCTATGAAACAGAATAAAAATTTCCTTAATTTCAGTCCCTGAGCAATCTGTTCCTTTTGGAAAACATAGCATCTTTTAGTTAGTAGACGTTTAGAATTAGAAGCTCAGGTGATATTAACAATAAATACTCCCTAAAGTCCAAGTAAACACCATCTAACCTTTCAAAGATGTAACATTCCTTGCTTATTAGGATACGCTGTTCACTACAGAATGTGTAAGAGCACGCTTTGCCTCCTCCTGCAACTTACTGAAACAAGCACATGAAAAGGAGAAAACTATAACAATTGATTATGATGCCCCCTTTCTGCTCTTCCCCATATATCCCTGGACATTGTGCACAAGTATAACACTATATTTGACTTATTGTAGGAATGATATCAGGACTTTTATTATAGAAGAATGCATACTTTCTCTGGGAAGAATTCACAGTTTTTGACGTGGGTCATTATTAGTGGTAGTTCTGAAGTCACATTCCTGTTTGGGAATTGCTAAGTTCTTACCCTTGTCCTGGGCTTTACAAAGAGGTGGTGGTGGTGAGATCTGTATTGCCTCCACCATAGTCCATATGTTACAAAACAGAGAGGCCATCCTATCCCATCCTCCCCTGCAATTTGTTGACCTAGGAAGGGATTCTTTTTAGGCTAATAGATGAGGTGGGGAAAAAGATAATTATTAACAGCATTTCTTGAGCTGGGTCCTCAGTAAAAGTTGAAAATCCTGACCATTACAATTTAAGTTTGTATAGGTACAGTATTTTGTTTACAGAGATTAAGTCAAGAGACAATGTCTATAGTTCCAAGATTAAGTATTTCAGTTTCAGAGTACAAGCACCTGTGAAGAGTTGCTCTGTGTTTACAAAGTTTTTGTTAAAAAACCCAACAAAATCCTTTCTGCAAGGTCAAGAAGAAAAAGGAATAAACCATAGTCATGCCTAGTTAAAACGAAGAAGGGAGCAGCATGGGGAACACTAGCAAAATCCAAAAGTAAAATAGTTAGCATGGAAGTAGAACCATGCATATCTGAGTTAACACAAAACTCTCTAGCCAAAAAACTTCTTCCTCCCTCCTGTCGCCTTCATTTTGGCAATTTATTGTGGGTAGTAGAACACTACCCATGCTTTCCCCAGACACTATCAGAAATCCTCTTGCTGAAACTTGCAGGAAAAACAGAATACAGTGGTGCCTCGCTTAACTATGTTAATTGGTTCAAAAAAACACACATCGCTATGGGAAAACATCGTTAAGCGAAACACCATTTCCCATAGGAATGCATTGAAAACCGGTTAGCTCGTTCCAATGGGAACGGATTACCGTCGTTAAGCGAAAATCCCCATAGGAAACATCACTAAGTGAAACAATGTTTCCCCCATCGGAAAGCTATTGAAATGCACTGAAGCCGACTCAATGCATTTCAATGGCTTTCCGATGTCCGTTTTCGCTCATTTTTAAGTGTCTTAAAATGTTTGAAACCTGTTTTAAATGCTTGGAAT